CAACAGAAATTCAGGGACGAAACAAGTGAACACTACACAGATGACGGAAGTAGAGAAGAATCAAGGGAGATGAGCGCATCAGAGCTGTAGGATACAAAGCACCACAATGATTAAGCCTGACAAGCAACGAGTAGTAGCCGATATGCTCCCCAGATCCCAGCTGAGCCTGAAGTGAGAAACTCCTGGGCTCAGTGGCGTGGACCTGTAATCCCAGAACTTGGGAGGACGGCACTAAGTTTGAGGCCAGCCTGGGCCACACAATCAGTTCAAGTTTAGCCTACACAACACAGTGAGACTCTGTCACCAAAAACTCGTAAAACAACAACAACAAAAAACTATAAAGAGCATAGGAAAGAGCATATGGTTAAGTGACAAATATGTCAAGAAATCAAAAAAACCAAGTTAATACAGAAAAAGCAAAAAGTTGTGCATAACATTGCAAACCTAATTATGTAACCATACTGTTACCTGGCTCCACAGAAATACCAATATTTACATACGCATAACAGACACAACCAAAAACTGTGCTCAATCAGCACTCATCCAAGCCAGGTGTGGTGCTACACACCAGTGATCCCAGAAATTGGGAGCCAAAGGCAGGAGGATCACTGTGAGTGCAAGGCCAGCCAGGGCTACACAGTAAGTTCAAGAGTAGCCTGCACTACACAGTGACATTCTGTCTAAAAAAAGAAAGGAAATAACGAGTGTAGTGGTGCAAGCCTGTAATCCCACTACTCTGGAGGCTGAGGCAGGAGGATCCCCGCAAGTTGCAGGCCCGCCTAAGCTACAAAGTGAGTCCAAAGCCAGCCTGAACTGCACAGTGAAGCCCTGTCTTTAAAAAGACAAAAAAAAGGAAAGAAAACAACAACAAAAAATCTTCACTTATCCATGAGTTTCCCAGAGTAATAAATCAAGAAATAGCAATTTTGTTACTTAGAAATGTGGAAGTAAATACCAGAAGACACTGGTTAAGAATACACTGGTTGAGATATGGCAAGAAAATCCTCCTTTATATGAAGCTCTGTAATACTATTGACTTTTTATTATACTATGTAGGGAGCAGCAGAAATTGAGTTTAAAAAGACAAATATAAACTTGTAGTAGCTGGGTGTAGTGGTACACACCTATAATCTCAGCACTTGGGAGGTTAAGGCAGGAGGATCGCTGTGAGTTTGAGACCAGCCTGAGCTACAAAGTGAGCTCAAGGCCAGCCTGAACTGCACAGTGAAACCCTATCTCAAAAAAACTAAATAAATAAATATTAAAAACTTGTAGTAAAAAATTATAGACTATCCAGAAAAATACAACTGAAATATAAATTTCCTGGGGCTGGGGATTTAGCTCAGCGGCAAAGCGCCTGCCTGGCAAGTGCAAGGTCGTGAGTTCGGTTCCCGGTACCGGAGAAAAACCAAAAAAAATAAATAAATCCCCCTTCCCTTCCACCCTAAAAATGAGAATAATTAGAAATCTGTAATTTCTGTAGAGAAATAATTCAAAGAGTTCATTAATATCAC